ATTTTAGTGAGGTGCACTTAATAAAAATATGAAAAAAATAATTCACAAAATAATAAATTGACCAAAATACCCCCAAAAATTTTCTAAATTTTAAGTAATTTGGATTTGTAGAAAAAAAATGAAAATTGAAACACTACCAGACAACTGTGACCGTGCGATGAAGTTTCGATGGTGATGAGGGTAGGCGAAATCACTGTTCATTTTCGCCTATAGGCGTTGGGAAGAGTTTTCCTATATATATATATATATATATGTATATATATGGAAGCCTCTACGCTACGCCTATGGGCGAATGCTATAGTGATTTCGCCGATAGGCCAATCGCCATCCGAAAATATCGGACGGCGTATGTTTTTGGACCGCCACGGATGTAGCATGTTTGTGGCGGTTACCGTCACGGACATAATAGGTCCGTGGCGGTCCAAAAATTCACGCGGAACCGCAACAGATGGCGCCGTCCATTGTGGGTCCGTTCAATAAGCCGCCACGGACATAGCAAGTCCTTGACGAAGGTGAAATACTGTAGCATTTCGCCTATAGCAATGTTTTAGGTTTTTTCTATATATATATATATATATATATCCTAAAAAGACATATGGGTTCAAATCAATTATAATTGTTCAAATCAGTGACAATTATGTCCAAAATAATATTGACTCATGCGACCTAGAGTATCTTACAAAACAGACATGCATGTCATACAAGGACTAAGTCTTAAGAACATGAATGTTTGGTTCATCCAATCTATGGATTCATGTCCACATAGCAGACATGCCATGTCTGTGAATCCAGAAAAATGAGAATATCCAGGCAATGTTGCTGTGAATTTCCTGTGTTTGTGCATGTGTGTCTTGCATGTTGACATGGATATTTAGTGCACTGGCCTGGTTGATTCCGGCAAACATGTTTTTGTTACATAGAGTGGCGAAGGACAATTGTTTTGTAATCTTTTAGATTTTATTTTATCTTATTTTGAATTCTTGTAAGGCAAAGCCAAGCTCTATTGAAAGAAGACAAATTACTAAGAGGACAAATATATCCTAGAAATGATGAACATTTGTACCAATGTTTTACCTTGCAATAGAATAGGACGAGTGCTATTCAGCATTCCGCAGCCACATAATTGACCCACAATTAATCTAGAAAATCATCAGTCATCATTCTTATGTAATAAGTATTGGTCATTACTCATTAGTTGCCTTTTACCTTCCTAATTTGGAGTAAGAATATGGTGTTTTAATGTTGTATTCTTGCAGGGTTTTGAGTTCATTGTTCAGAAGCTCTATGCCCTGAGGAAGCCCAAAACAAATATTCAGATCCTACAGCAAAGTGTCCTTCTCAAGTACAAGTGAGTCTTTTGCATATTTAAAGGTCTGTGTTCATATTAATTTGTTCTGTGTATGTAAATGTAGTACATAACTATATACCATATACACATGCATATGTCATATGTCATGCATAGTTTTTGCTTATTTTACTTGCATTTTCATTGTTAAGAAAAATTCTTCCTTTTATTGTGACTATACGTAGAAGCTTGGTTTGCGATAGTTTAGAAAGGAAAATATCTGATGGGGTTTTTCTTGTGTCCTAGATTCCTTGTCTATAAATTATTTAGTATTTGAAGTTGTGAGCTTTTTCCTTATGGTTTGCTTTGTCCGATGGAAGTTTAATTCCATCTTGATAGTATGTTGAGCTAGATGCCAAAACTCTATGATGGCTCAGTGTTACATTTGTTTTTGTTACTTTAGAGGGTTTAAGATTTACATACTTGTGACACATAAGGGTGTTGCACATATTCTTCCTCTGAGAAAGTTACCTAAACATTCTGTTTAATCTTGGAAAATTAGTTGTATCCGGAATAATGGGTAAAATTATTTTTAAAGCCCCACAAGGTTCGTAGATTGTTCCATTTGATATTCTTCTCTACAAAATATATTTGCAGGTATGTTGTTCTCTTTCTTAAAGAACATGGTAAAGAGGTGTATCTCGAGGTTCGTGGAGCATATGTTGACACAATGAACAAGGTCAGTGTTTCTGTAATATTTCCAGCAACAACGGAACATGCAATCTGTATAAATTCCTCTTTTGTCAAATTCTTTTTGGCTTTTGGTAGTGATTATTATGTCATGCAGATCAACCCGTTCATTGTGTTGAACGAGGAGCATCATACTCTCCAGTTTTTTATGTACTGGATCAATTTGTTCATGTCCATATGAATAGTCGAATATTCCTGCAGACAATTTTATTCTCTTCGTCCATTCTTTTTTTTTGTGTGATTTCTCTTGGTCAATTCAATGCACCAGATCCAAAATATTTTATCCTAACCATATGAAGAGAGGAAAGTACTGGGATGAAAATCTCATATTGATTTGATGCATCATACTGAGAATTTTTATCCTACATGATGTCGAAAATATCTTTACCTTCTCCATGTAGGTTAATCGGAAGATACTGCTATCCCTCAATCCAATTTGCATTGTGTTTAAACCCACAGCTTTTTCCCTTCCTTGTTAAGATGTCCTTTAAAGTAATCGTGATCCTCACCTAAAATCAATCTTTATAATATGCCTGCAAAGTTTTGAAATTAGATTATTATTATAAATTTTATAGTAGTTGGAAGAAAACTCGCCAAAGGAAACTTTTATTATTCAAAGAAAGGTCTGTATAATATCAAATCCTATGTTCACTCTCTGGCAATTCTGCATGATATACTCAAATACTAAACTCAGAGTTTAGTATTACATTATCAGTCATGACCATGTCGAATATGAAGAACCATAGCGGTTGGTGCATCTTTTTCTATTTTTCTCTTTTGGCAAGTAAAATGGTGATGATGAGGATTAACTTTGAACTTAAGGTCTCATACTAGAATTCCATATCACTCCATTTAGACCAAAGACTAGAATCCAATCTTCTTTCTACTCGTACTAATGCTAGCTTCTTATAAATTCATTTTTCACAAATTTGTTTGATCAATGTCTCCTATGGTTCAATGAAATTCTTGTCACTTTTTTTATCCTATAGAAAATTATAAAGCTAATGTATGAATCTCCACTATATAAAATTCAGAAATAACATAATGCATATTTGTTTTGGTCTCAACTCACAATGAACCAAGAAGCAACAAAAACAAACCAATCGTAACTTTCTAGTTGAGGCTGGAAAATAGAAGTGCCAGATATGAGTGTTTTGATGCTGGACTGCCACTGTCTTTTGCGATTAAGAATAGGACTGGATGCCATCTTTAATTTTAATTTCTTGTTGAAACATAACGTACTCTGCAACAAATTATTCGTGAAAGAATAGTTATATAAGCCACAGATTTGATATTTTGGGTTCTTGGTTTTGTTGGAATGGGTGCTGGGTATTTCATTGTGCACATTTTACTTCTGCATTTTTAGAGAAGTGGGCATGGCCCTTGATAGAGAAAAATGATAGACCAAGATTTGTGTAGCCGACCCCAAATAGATGGGAAAAGGTTCTGATGATGATTGTTGGACAAGGGGATTTGTCATATATAAGTAGATGTTCAAGAGGTTTGGCGGGATGTGGGAACTTGGATATGGAACTAAATAGTATCTAGTTCTTTTAAGCCTGTTATTGAGGAGAATGCCAGTGATTCAATTCATATGATGCTTAGTTCTTGGTTTGTTGGAATGGGTGCTAGGTATTTCATCGTGCGCATTTTTCTTTTGCATTATTGGATAAGTGGGTATGGCCCTTGATAGAGAAAAATGGCAGACCAGGATTTATGTAGCCGACTCCAAATGGATGGGACAAGGCTCTGATGATGGTTATTAGAGAAGTGGTTTTGTCATATATAAGTGGATATTCAAGAGACTTGGCTGGATGTGGGAACTTGAATATGGAAATAAAGTTATGGTGGAGTTTGAAGTTACATGAGTGGAGTCTTTTCCTACGCTGGAAATTTAGGGGAAAAACTATCAAAACATTAATAGGAATAATTTAGGAGCAGAATATTTGGCTCTCTAGGTTTGGATTATCTTTTCCTTAATTCCCATGAATCGTCTACTTTCAGTAGATGCTTTGAGGGGTATTATGTGACATTTAGTCCTCCAATGCATGGGAACTTGGTGAGGGGTCCTTAGGAGCATCTACACTTACACTCGGAGTCTATAAGACGTTATCTATGTTGACTGAAAGTGATGACTTCTGAATTTAATAAATAAGATAGCCTGTAGAGTTTGTTCTTGTGCTCTTCTTCTTCCTGGCTTGCATCACTCTGTAGTTGTCTATTTGTGTATGACAATTAATTAAATGAATGCCTTTTCAACAGCAGTCTTGGAGCTACTGTATGTTGTAGAGGACATATTCGTGTGAAGACCTTCTCTGTTCCTTCAATTTTGTTTCATAATGAGAATTTAATTTCACCGTGTTTTCAGGTTCTAAGTGCTCATTTCCGTGCATATATACAAGCACTGGAGAAACTGCAATTGGATATAGCATCATCCAGTGATTTGATTGGAGTAGAGACCAGGAGTTCTGGTAGTTTATTTTCAAGGGGAAGAGAACCTCTAAAGAACCGATCTGCTGTTTTTGCATTGGGGGAGAGGCACAATATCTTGAAGGTTTTCCTCTATATACTAGGTCTTTCAATTTTTTATAGATATTACTTTTTTGGTTTACAAGTTATATGCTCTTGTGCTGTTTTTAGTCCATTATCTTTTTCTCTTTCTTTTGAAACTTAGTGAATGCTGGATTTTTGGTGTCTTCTCTCTTTGATTCTGGATCTGTTTTTTTTTCTTTCCCTTTTCCTTTCTTGGAGTTTATCATTTCACCAAATTGGACTTATTTATTACCTTTAATGAATATATATTTGATTTCAGCACCTGATCTTTGGAAAAGGCATGAGGATAATTACTTTTAGCTCTTCCTTCATTCTTGTCTTGTTAATTCTTGGTTGAATTTTGGCTGTGCGCGCCTGCTGTTTGCTACATTGTAGGCTTTAGGTTCCATTTGCTACTTGTAATTTTTTCTTCTTATTATTTCAGGAAATCGATCAACCTGCATTGATACCTCATATAGCTGAAGCAAGTTCTCAGAAGTACCCATATGAAGTTCTCTTTAGGAGTTTACACAAGCTTCTGATGGATACTGCTACTTCAGAGTATTGAATAGTCTGATCTAAATCTTTTACGCGAGACATAGTTAAGCTGCTTTTTTTTCCGCATTGCCTAAACATTTTGTGGCTTTACAGATATCTTTTTTGCGATGACTTCTTTGGAGAGGAATCAATCTTTTATGAAATATTTGCAGGTAAATCCCAAATGTGTCAAGTGGCATTTTTCAGTCTAGTAAAAGGGTTGACTGAACTAAGATATATGTTCTGGGTTTCCTTTGGCATGAAGTTTTCTTTATTGAATGTAGATAGCTAACAAAGTTACTTGGAATTTCATGGTCTACTTTGTTGAAACTGAATATTATTCAGTTGCAGAAAAAGGGTTTATTCTTGTTAAGTAAACTGAAGGTTACTGCCCTTGTGTACAAGAGTGAATGTATAGAATTGCTAAACATCCTACAAGGCGTATGTGCAAATACTGACCTGGACAATTACATAAAGTATCTGGTAAATATGCAATATATGAATTACATAAAACATGGAGTTGTCTGAACACCACCCACATCCATCGATACAACCTTTTCTCTCTTCAAATATTTGGTTCAGTTGTCGGTAAGTGAAAATCTTGCTGATGGATTTCTTGCTTCAAATTTCATGCTACTGGAGCAAAGTCAGATCCATTTTAGATCTGGTTTTCTTGATATTTATTCTGACACTGACTGATTATATGCATTTTTTGTTTGTTTATTTGGTATTTTCAGGGCCGTTCGCAGTTATTGATGAATATTTCAATTCGGTTCTGTCAAATTGTTTCGATGCTATTGGTTTAATGCTAATGATACGCATTATACACCAGCATCAGGTTGGAAATATGTTTCATTCCATAGCTGTGTATGGGAAATTGATATGTTTGCAATAATGCCTTTTTTTTATACACCCACCTAAGGGTGATAGGTGTCTCAGCTTGGTTAACTATTATTTATGAGCAAGTTTATCTTTTTGTAAGCCCGCCTCGCTGCCTATTTTAAAAACACCACCAAATCCCCCATAAGACTACCAAAAGAAAAGTCAACGTGGTTTTCCTCTTCTCCCAAAAAGCGACTACTTTAATATGACTAATCAGCGAGTGAAAAAAGTACATGATCGGATGCCCACTTCAGAGTACAGTTCATAATTGTCCTTGAAGGTAAGTCAGGCTGTTTCATCGATGTGACTATTAACGTGTCCAAATGATGCCTTAGATGTTAGGATGCATCTGGCTCCTTCATATATGCTCACAGGTCACATGGTTACTAGCAAAAAGAAAAGTTTCCCAAGGAATGTGCAAAGCCTGGTTTCTTTTTCTGTGAAGAGGGTTCTTTTTGTTGCATATTGGGGGCTTTCACCTTCCCATATTCTGACTCTGCAAGTGTTCCTGATTTGTTAAAGTGCTTTTTTTTTTCTTTAAACTGGATGAATTGTCACGTAGTACTATTTCCATGGTTGAAGTCGTGATAGGCAATCTGCAAATAAATCTTCAATATGAAATTATCAATTGAAAAAAACAGTATTTTCTATTTACTTTTGACTTGATTATTTGTCTGATCTCCTTTACAGTTGATCATGTCTCGTCGCCGGATTCCATGCTTGGACTCATATCTGGACAAAGTAAGAATCTCTTCTTGCAAATTGGTGGATAAATGTTGTGAGTAATGGCATCTTAGTTAGGATTTACTTGGTTCTTAGTTACTCGGTTATGCATTGATATGATTTACCAATGTTTTTAACTAGATTGTTCCTGGCTTCCGGCATTAAATTCATTTCCCTTAACCTCTAAGACAATCTTGCTTTGCAATTAAGTGCAGTCAACATATAATCAAACTATTGAAAGCATGCTTATGCAGAAAAAAACATCTAGGTGGTTGGTGGTTGAGCCCCTGGGTGTGCTTTTAACTCACCAACATTTTCCTGTTGTAAAAAGAGAAAAGCTTTCTGAATAAATCAAAATAATTGTATTTCTAGCAATCGAAGCAAATCAACAAATGACAAATATGATGCTGTGGTCTCTACGAGTTGTTGAGTTTAACCAGGAATTTCTTTTTCATCCCATCAATGGTGTCTTTCTGCTGTGAATAGACTGAGTTTGTTGAATTTGGTATTCTAACCTGCATTAAAACTTTTGAATTGATTGAACAGGTCAATATATCTTTGTGGCCTCGTTTCAAAATGGTATTTGATTTGCATCTTAATAGCTTGCGGAATGCTAATGTAAAAACATTATGGGAAGATGATGTCCATCCCCACTATGTTATGAGGCGATATGCTGAGTTTACTAGTTCACTCCTTCACCTCAATGTTGAATATGGAGATGGTCAGGTTGGTTTAGTAGTCAAATTGTCACTCTCTGAGATTGCTTGTGGACTTTCCTTTTACCCCATTATAGTGGCTTACTTTGGATACTTGTTTATTTGCATGACTTGAGAAGTGTTATATTTGCAGCTCTGATAAGTTTTTCAAACGTTCAATGAGTCCAGCTTTTGCTTTCTAAAACACTGCTGCTCATATTTGGGTCACTTGAAACTGTAGCTTGATCTGAACCTGGAACGTCTGCGAATGGCTGTTGATGATTTGCTTGTCAAGCTTGCTAAGACATTCTTAAAACCAAAGGACCAAACTGTGTTTCTCATAAACAATTACGACATGATTCTCGCTGTATTAAAGGTATTTTTTTAATCAAATCCTAATAAGGTTCTCTCACTATGATTGCAATGACATATGGCAGTCATAATGAAAATCATATGTTTTTCTAAGGATGGACATATCTCACAAGAATCACATACTTATTGAGAATTGTCCATCTCTTAGGAAGCGGGTACAGAAGGTGGAAAGACTCAGCAGCATTTTGAAGAACTGCTTAGGAGCAACATTTCTATCTATGTGGTAAGTTTTCAGCTACTTGTGACTGAATGGGGATGACAATGTAGCAGTGTAATTCTTGAAGGTTGTGGGAAAAAATTTGTGGATTGAGATTTTGTTTTACTAGATGAGGTTTCCTTCTCTCTCTCTAATTGTTCATGAAGAACATTCATATGCGATGATATTAAGGCTACAAGCCTTCTATAGGTTCGCAAAATGTGAAGTTTTAGTTAACCATCACAGAAAAGAGAGAATGTGAAGTTTTACTTTTCCCTGCAGGAAGAGCTTCTTCTGGAGCACTTCAAGGATCTTATAAGGTTTGTCAAGACCAGGGCTGGTAAGTTTGGAAAGCAACCTCATTAAGCGTGTATTGTTCTGGTACAATTTAACTTCTTTCTTGGCAATATAGTGACATTTACAAACCTACATAACAGGTGAAGAGACAACTTCTAATTCAGAGAATCCTGTAACAGCCGCAGAGGTGGAACCACTAGTTAAGGATTTCTCCAGCAGGTGGAAAGCTGCGATAGAACTCATGCATAAAGATGTCATCACGTCTTTCAGCAACTTTTTATGTGGCATGGACATCTTGAAAGGTGCATTGACCCAACTGCTGCTCTATTACACCAGGTTCTCAGAATGTGTAAAGCGAATTGGAGGTGGTTCTTCCCTTAACAAAGATTTAGTTTCCATAGCCTCCATCATGTATGATATCAGGAAGTATTCGAGGACTTTTTAGCTTTTCAATTCTTACAGATTACAAGGGAGAACCCCATTTAGGATACCAATATTCAAAAGTTTGATTTATGTTGTACCAAAAACAAGATTTGCCTGTGTATTCCAATGTAATGCCTTATGGAGGAAATATTATGCTGATCATGATTTTTTAACTTCTTCTCTTCTGTAATGTTTCTATCCCATTGTAACGGTTATGTTCTTGAATTTGTTCACAAGCTGCAACTATCAACCCTTAGACTTCAAACGTTAGGTTTAGGATAGTGCTAGCACATGGTCTGCGCCATTGCAAGCTCCATATGCGGACCCCTTAAGTTCCATCTTTTTTATGCCAATCTAAGCCCTGCAAAGTCTTTACTACCCTGGAAAATTGGACTAGGAGCTTCAAGATAGTGCAAATTTGAGTAATCTAGGGTCCATTGAAATAGACGGTCCAGATCCTATGTTGAAGTGACATTCAAGATGGAGCATTTTAGGGTTCTATATCTGATCTGGATCTCGGGGGTCATGAAAATGGATTTGTAGATGTTTTGAATGCGAAATCATCCAAACCATGAAATGAGAAGGCATTATGCTTTTAAGCTTATACCCTCGCCGCACCAATTACTTAAGGGTGTACTCATTATTACTGATAATTTGTTGTTTCAATAAAGCTAATCCTGTTTGTTTGGTTCTATTCATCATAAAGAGATCATCTTAAAGGCAGTTTTACGTGTAAGTTGTCTTTTGAAAGTTTGTTTGTTCAAAGTAATTTGTTGAGCATCACATGTTCTTGTCCAAAAATAGCTAGAAACCAAGAAAAATATTTTAAATAACAGTATATATAATATATAAGATATGTACCAAATAATATAGAAGTTTTATCCTCCTTTTACTATCCAGCCGTTCAATTTTGATCAAGAGAGCCACTCACTGTTTGATCTTAGATCCGACGTTTTAAAGCATTTTATTTTTAATTTTGTTTACACAAATTGTGTGAATATGAAATTTTGTACGTGTCATCTTCTCATTTGGACGCACCTATAAAAAAATATTAAAAATAATTTTCAATAAAATATAATGACCAAAATACCCCTTGAAACTTTCAGGGGTATTTTGGTTATTTTATTTTATTGAAAATATAATTTTTATATATTTTTTGCTTGTGCGTGTTTAATAAAGGAATGGATGTCTAAAATTTAGTATCAAAATAGATTATAGAAAAAATAAATTTAAAAAAAATAGTGTAGAGACGTGACATTGTGATTGGAGCAATCTTAGCCCTCCATTCAAAATAGACTAGACGGTTGGATAAAGGGGAAGATAGAACTTCTATGTTGTAAGGGAAGCATAGAAAGATTGCCCATTTCATATAAGATATATATTTGAGATAAAATTACTTATCATCCAAACTGGCTTTTAATGCTTAGTATTGCCGGTGGTAGTGACATACTGAATACATTTTGGACTCAACAATATTTTTGATAAAACTATAGTTAGCAAGTCGGGGACTATCAATAAATTGGCTCACCATAAAATAAAAAACAAATCATTTTTATTTTAAAAAGTCAGATGAAAAACTTGGGTAAAAAATACAGATCAGCAAAAATACTTCATATAAAGATATCGCTAATATATTGGATTAGGCTCAAAAAATCGAAGTCAACAAATCTGATAAATTTATAATATTAAAAGTTTTGAAATTCTAAAAAATAAAAATTACGTCAAAGCCATCAATAATTAATAAATTTATAATATTATAAATTTTGAAATTCTAAAAAATAAAAATTATATTAAAGCCATCAATAACTAATTCACCCATAAAAACTTTACTAGACTAATATAATTAAGTTAATTAATTTAGATGTCTCGTGGCTCTTCATCCAATCATCCAATAAAAGTAGTATATACCAAAAAAAAATGTGTCATATAAAATCTACCCCATTCAATACTTTAAGAAACATTACACCTACTTATCACATATCAAAAACAAATATACTATATAAATTTATTCAGTAAATACTTTAACTATGATATGGTGACAAATATACTATACAAATATATTCATTAAATACTGAAACATCACACCTACTTAGAAGGTACAAAAAAAATACATGATTTTTGTTTTCTCATTACAATGATTTAACTATGTTTAAATTTTATAAATTTCTTTAATCGAAAAGAGGGTCCTAGAAATTTGGGTTTCAAATCTCGTGTTTACGGTTTAGAGAGAGATGAAGGAAGAAGGAAGAGAATAAAATAAGGTTGGGCTCACAGTCCTTAGAGTTTATAGAGATAAGAAGGAAGAGATCATGGGCTTCAATTTTAGGGTTTTTTTTAAAAAATAATTCTTTTTCAAAAGCTTGAAAGTAGCATGGCTGCAATACACAAAACAGGGGGAAAAAACAAATATCTTTCAAAAAATTATAGGTAAAAAAAGAGATCATTTTTGGCCTGATTTAAATCTTATTATGAAAAAAAGCGCGTTGTAAAAGTTTTTAGGAAAACTACGCGATCTTTTAAAAGTAGTCGCTTAAAATTGTTTCCATAAAAAAGGCGATTTTTTTAAAAATCGCCAATTAAAGGGCGATTTGCTAAATAGGGATAAAACTTACATGACGAGAAACTCCGAAGTGTTTCAACAAACTTGAATTAGGACGAAGCTTTTAAAAGTGAAGCATTCTTTCGATTATACACATGGGAACCATTTTTCAGGTAAAGAAAAACTGCTCGAGTGATCATCTGATAAGGGAAGAATGCCATCAGCCATTGACGGAGAACCAAACATAATCTGAACTAAGAGAAGGCAACAGGTTTTTTGGAAACTATTAATTGGGGAATTACACACGCTATAATATAGCTATGGAAGAGCCTAGTTCATGGGCATTATCACTGCTGATGAGCCAATGGATAGTGATGGAGAGAGTGAAACCCACCCACCATTTGGTTCCTTGTTCTGGTTGGTCTCTCTATATCACCGTCCATTGGCTCATCAGACGGTGATGACCTTTCTGTGCTAAAAGTGTTCCATAGTCCATTTGACTACAATACATTATCCACTAACATATGGCATCTGCAACTGAAGCATCACTTTTGGGCAATTTGGATTATCAACATTAAGTGCCAATCAGCCCAACATAATGCGACCTTAGAAACTATTAATAGTTAAATGCCACACTTGAATTCTAGGCTATTCTCCTGACCAGAAAGCAAGGACAGAAAACGCGAAGAAGGCAAGAGCCCATTCCAATAGCACAGCCAAAAGACCCAGCTGTCTGATCCGTTGAATTCGCAGCGGAAAGAGGGACACCATATACTGGGTTCGAGTCCATGTACTGTTGATAAGAGCTTGTAACAGGAGGAGGGGCGCACAGGGGACTCGTCTCAGAAGAGGCTTCTTGAATTGGGGTTTGAGAAGTAGAGCTCACAATAGGAGGAGTTGGCATTTGGGGTGGCTGGAAATCTATCCATGAAGGTGGCAGAGGAGGAGCAGATGGCTCTATTCTAGAGGAGCAGCTGCAACAGTGTGGACAAATGCTCTTCCTCCTCTTCTTGGTTTTAATCCAGAACTTGCCCTTTCTCAGTGCCCTCAACATAAGGAATCTGGCCTTGCCGCTAAATTTAGCAGAGATGATCAGGGACAAGTGTGACTTGGAACGAGGTGAAGAGACTCTGGTTTGATTGAATGTGGCTTATAAATCAGTTGTTTGAGCATAGGATGCCATGTGCCTTTGTGGAGAAAAAGATGCTGCATGTTGAAAAAGTGATCAAATTTTTGGTGAGATTTTAAATGCACATACATATATTACGTGGGACCTGCCCATAATATGACCGTTGGATTTCCACTTTCATCCATTTGAGATTTGAAATTTAAACATGAACAAGTGTTGGAAAAGTTGAATCCGGCCCCCATTCCCCCACCCGAGTAACTCGGCTTGAGTAGGGCCGAGTATCGTAGCACCTGAAAATTATTTAAAAAATAAAAAATATAAAAAAAAAAATTTTAAAACGAAGAGAAAATATACCCAAAAGTAAAATTTAACAAAACACAACAAATTGTGGTTAAAAAAGTAGTGATAAAATAGATTTTAAAAAATGAGTTGGTAATCCGAGATATTTTCAAATTTTTCTAAAAAATGTCGGAAAATATAAAAATAAATATTCATAATCAAAATACATTCTAATATCTGCCAAAATGATAGAAAATATAAATTAAATATTATAAATATATTTTTTAGTTTTTATATTTTTTAATTTATTTTTAAGATTCTCAAATTGGCCTCCAACTTGGCCTCAACAAGGACCGGACCCCAACTAACTCGTCCAGGTAGAAACCACTAGGCCGAGTTTTTATATGAACTCACCCAAATAATATTCAGATGTTAGACCACATGGACGGACGGGCTGGAGGGACCGTGCCAACACATTAACCACAGAAGGTAAAACCATATCCAGGAGTATTAATCAAGCGATTCCATATGTGCTTGAAAAAATAATGCCCTAAAATTGAAGAGGTATGGACCACTTTTTCAACGGTGAGATCTAAATGTTCGTAAACATTATATCCAGTTTTTCAAAAAAAAAAGCTCAATGATTCTTAGGTGGATCCCAAATTTGAAATTGAAAAATCCTCCTAAATAGCACTTTTGCATGAGGGAGTAAACGCGCAGTGTGCTCTGATTAAAGTATGCTCTTGATTTTTTCCCCTCTTTTTCTTTAAAAAGAACAAAATAAAAGCTTTAGCAAAAAACAAGACAAATAATTTGACTAATTAAATTTCTTAAGTGGTTTTAAAAGTAGTACCATGTGACTTAGGTTAGCTTTTTTGCCTTTCTTTTTTTCTCTCCTTTTGGCCTTTAGTGAGCCTTTTTACCTTATATTCAAGGCATTCCATCGGGTCCGGGCCGACACAAGTGTGATCCAACACCGAAATAAAAATAAAAGGTAACACGGAAAAACAAAAGAAGATAAATTTTTTTTTTATAAATTTTGAAGAATTGGCCCCAAAGCAAAGTTGCCAGGATGGACGGTGTTACATGATGTCTTCAGCTCTATTCTCACAAACTCTTGAGTTAATATTTTATAAAACACAAACACAATTTTTTTAAAAAAAATACAAATTCGCTAGGGTTATATTTAAGGGGAATACTTTCATGTCACTAATATCATATAGAAAAAAAAGTTTTTATAGAGCCAAGGCTCTATATAATCAAATTAGAACCCACCTCAAAAATTTCATTAGAAGAGGTCGTTTTGATGCCCAAACATCCTCAAATTGATCATCTCGACATCAAGATGCATGGATATGAGAAAAAAATGGATTTCAAGTTTTAGTAATAGTGTATTTTGCAATGCATTTTTCGACCATCAATTTTGGAGATTTTCAAATTTTCATAGATCTACTCGATCTACACTATTTTTGAAACTTTAAAATTTATAAATAAAGATGAAAATATATTTTAAGGATATCACAAAGATTTCTAGTATTAAAACCACATTTCTCGACACTATTTGAAGGCTATACAAACCGCATCCTATAATAAAACCACACTTTTAGAAAACCATATTTGTGGTATTTGTGTAGTCCCAAAAATTGCACACACCCTCTCTTCATTCCAATAATCAATCCTAACAAAAAAAAATGCAGCCCACACCCTATATATGGTCAAAAAAAGTACCCCTCCAACAATGAATCTAGACCATCTATTTGGTGAATTTTAATATCTAGGTCTTTACGAACTCAAAATCATTGTTTTCGTTTTTAACATTGTTCATCGAATCATAATAAAGTAATCTAAAAAATTTAAAAACGAAAACAAAAATCTTTCTAAAACCTAGATCTAAGCATCTTACTAAAATAGTTCGCCTATATTAATTGGCTAAGAAAATACTTTATAGAATCATCATTATCAATTTAGGATTTTTCTAATTAATTGGAGTTGGCTACATGAATCATGGTGCTCCATTTTACTTTATTAAAGGCATATTCTCAATGAGGCGATAAGTCCACATATCTTTTTGGACAACTTCCAACCACATCCTTTTGGACCTTCTCCTTGCCTTTTTCAGTTCTTCCACTGGAACTAATTCACACGTCCTAACAGGTGTTGTACTTGGTCGGCGCCACCTGGCCAGCCCATCTAAATCTACTCTCTCTCATTTTATCGCCTATTGATACCATGCCTAAATTCTCTAGAATAAATTCATTGCGAATTCTATCTCTTCTTGTCTTACCACTCACCCTTCTCAACATCCTCATCTCCGTTACACTCATTATATGGATATATTATTTTTGGTCCGCTCAACATTCCGCCCTATAAAGCAAAACTGATTTCACCGTTGTCCAATAGAATTTGCCCTTCAACCTCATTGATATGCAGCGATCACATAAAATTCCAATTGCACATCTTCGCTTCACCCACCCAGCTCTAATTCTGTGTATGACAGCTTCCTCGATCTCTCCATTTTTCTGGATTATCAACCCAAGATATCAAAAGTGCGGCCTTTTTTGTATATTCTGACTGTCAATCTTAACTACTTCATTATCTCTATTGCTATTATTGCTAAATTTGTATTCCATATACTATGTCTTAGTCCAACTAATTTTAAAACCTTTGGATTCTAGAGCATCCCTCCAAAGTTCTAGCTTTATGTTGATGCCGTTTCGGGTTCGGGTCTCATCAATCAAAACTATGTCATCTGCGAACAACATGCACTATGGTACCTCATCCTGTAGGTGCCTAGTTAAGTCGCTCATGACTAAGACAAAGATGTACGGGCTCAATGCTGACCCTTAATGTTGACTTATTGTTACTGAAAACTCACTCGTCTCCTCATTAGTTGTTCATACACTAGTTACTGCACCATCGTACATATCTCTCATCATTCCACCACCAAGTTTCTTTATCGAAGTTTCTTTTCTCTTTAGATTCTCTTAAAACATCTTTTGTCACTTTTTTGATACATTCAACCATCTCATTCCATTTACATTGACATCATGTTTAGAGTTTCATTTTCTTTCTTCAACTAATTTATCCCGAAATAAGTCTATTTTCTCTTTTTTTTTTAATTCTACCAACTAGTTCTCGGATACCCATTACTTTCACCCTTTATCCTCCATGTCTTTATGCAGATGCCTATGACAACGAGCCTATGTTAGGTAGTCAAACTATCTCTCGGGATAACCTTGCAGTCTTTACATGATGATCGATCTACTTTTTTAACTAAGAAGATGTCTATCTGGTTTTTATGTATTCCACTTTTATAAATTATTAAATGTTCATCTCGCTTTTTAAAGTAAATGCTTGCTATTGCTAGGTTGTAAGCCATAGCAAAATCTAGAATTATCTCACCCATCTCATTTCTTTCCCCAAACTCATATCCCCCATATACCCCTTTATATCCTCTACCATCCTCCCTATATGATCATTTAGGACCCCACCTAAAAAGGTCATCTCTCCATTTGGTATGTCTTGGACTATTCCATCTATGTCCTCCCAAAATTGTCTCTTAATTCTATCATCTAACTCTACTTATATGCGTATATCATTTCTATTATTATCATTTCATGTATACCATAGTTTATAGCTATCTATTTCTTTAGCTTTTTTCTATTATAAAAAAATACTTTATAGGGTGTGTTTTCAAATTTTGCCTTTTTGAGATTATTCATTAAAATGAAAATAGTGTATATTCAAATTTTGAGGTCTAACGAATGGCTCTAACATGGTTGTTGAAGATTGTTTCATTATATAACTCTACAATTATTGCATGAAATCACTCCCCTAACATAATATATTAGTATATTTAAAGGGTGTGGTTTGTATAGATCCTAGGCTCTAAACAATCAAATTAGAACCTACCTTCAAATAGTATCGAGAAATGTGGTTTCAATATTGGAAATCTTTGTGACAGCCGTAAAATATATTTTCATATTTATTTATGAAGTTTAAAGCTTCAAAAATAGTGTAGATCAACATTTGTATGAAAATTTAAAAATCTTGAAAATTTACGGTCCAAAAATGCGTAACAAAATGCATTTCCAAAACTTGCAATCTATTTTTTTTCTCTTGTCCATGCATCTTGATGTTGAGATGATCAATTTAAAGATATTTGGGCATCAAAACAACCTCTTCTAATGAAATTTTTGGGGTAGGCTCAAATTTGATTGTTTAGGCTCTATATAAACTTTTCCCATATATAAATGTACTTTTTTTTTTTTATTTGATCGGGTCTAGGTCCGAGTCCAACTGGGTCCAAGTCTGGATCTGATAACTTCGGGTTCAGGTGGGTCCAGGCCTCATAATCCAAACCCAACATGTTACTACCCCTACTCCAACCTTACTTCTACTATTAAGATTACAATTTCATATGAACTTTTTAAAGGAAAATTGTTTCATGCTGGATGGATGCAAATAGGAGGTCCTTCTAAAAACACTTGAAACTATTTGTCCAAATATTTTTGTGATAGAATTATTATTTTTAATTTTTAAAATTTGTTTATGTTTCATATTCATTCCACCATATTAGAGATTACATGTCCATTCAAAATTAGGTCAAAAAATCCACCTCAAAAATAGATTTTTAAGAGGCTCACACATTTATACATGGACTCATAGAATGTACCTTCTTAGAGCCACCGTTTAACTGAGGACCACTTAGTCATTACAATGAATGATTGCCGTATTTTCGTTATTATGGTCTTAATTTAAGTATTAACAGCAGTCGCAAAAAATATAAGATTCATGGATTCCCTGGTGAAAATTCCATGTTTTATTATTATTTGAGAGCAAAACCAGTTCTAGTTTTGTGATTTCAATGGAAGAAGAAGACGATGCGATCCCTGAGAAATACTCACTTGGAATCCGGCACGTCAAGAAACGAGCCCTAAAAAACAAGGCTCTTACCATAGCCTTCAACGACAAAGATTTAAGGTACCCCAGTTTTTTTTTTTTAATAGTCGATTGCTTTTGTTTATAATTATTGTTGATAGTTTTTATCTGTAATTTTTAGGTGTTTTTTCTCCTCTATTGGTTTCCTAAGTTTGATGTTTGTGGGTGGATTGGGTTGGCTTTCAAGGCAAATCATCAGAAAATCTTAGGGTTTGATTACTGTGGAAGACTCTTTCAAATGAGATAGATATTTATGGTTATATTTATATGGAATATTTCAAGTAAGATAACATGAGCTGGAATAGGGCAAATGGATTTTTCCTTTTTCCGTTTGGTTTTTACTTTATCCAAAAAAAAAGTATTTTTTGGGGTTTAAGGGTTTTTGAGATTTTTGTTAAAGTTTTCCATACTTGTGGTTCTGAGCGATAAATTCATAATTGGCATTGGCTAGGTATTTCTTCCCGTTGTATTAATCAAAAGAACAATTTTTTATCTTTCTTATGAGAAAATCGATGTATTTAAACAGGGATTATGTGACTGGTTTCCACAAGAGAAAGAAAAAAAGGCGAAAAATTGCGGAACAACAGAATCAAGAGAAAGAAAGACTCCGGCGAATCGAACAGCGGCAAAAGGTTTGGATTTGCACTGAATCTCTTCATACAAATCTGCTTCTTAATAGGGAGGCTTAAGGTTTTGAATTTGTGCACCATATGGCTTTAAATTTTGAAATGGGAATCTGTAGTTCCATCGCTAACCAAATAAATGTCTGATGAATTCGGTTCTTTAAGAGAGAATAGAATTGATTAATTTGCTTTACTCTATCTCATGATAACCTTTCTTTTGGAGATTCCTTACTGTACCTAGTTTGATTCTAATTAATAGTTATTTCTCTAGAGGAAATTAGAAAGAGAATCAGCTTTAAATGGTGGACCTGGAGCTGTGGAAAATCCGGTTTCCAGCTCAGGTGCTTGTCGTAGTGACTCTGAAGAGGACGGTGACCATGCTCCAATATCTGGTGAGTGGTTTAACGTTATTACTCTTATGATTAATTTAATTGCCTCGTTCCTCTTAAATTTGAAATTATTGCTGCCAGTACAGATGATTCCTTAGAAGCTGAATTGATTTTCTTTTTCTATACACTGAAGCAGATTATCCTTCGAATGAGTAGTAGTTTAGATTCCTCATACGTGTGATTGCCATTTCAAATTTGATGATTGATTTAAAACTTGGCTCGAATTCAAACAAGTTGTTTGACTTGAAATGCTGGAATTTACTATGGGTCCTTCTTTGTAATGGTTTTCCTGTCTATTTGAGGTTTGGGCTTTTCAGTTCTATAGTTTGATTTGAAACTTGGCTATGAATGCGAACTCTTTGTTCATCTCACAAATCTCGAATTTACTTTGAATCCTTCTTTGTTATGGTTTGCCTGTCTATTTGAAGTTTTGGGCTTTTCAGTTCTGTAGTATGCATTGTGTGATTCTACTGCTCCAGCAACTAATTGCTTACTTGACCAATTTCAATTTCTTTGTCATGATTTTGCCCAACATTTCACAAGAGTCAGAACTTGTAACTGAAAGAATCAGCATTTGATTGTTCGTTAAAAAAAATTTAAAATTAAAAAATAACAAAAATTTAAAAATTAAAATAGTATTGAAGTCAGGAACAAGGAAATTGAAAATTGAGTTAATGAGATGAGGGAGCTTACTATGTGGTAGAACTCGTAAGTGCACGATTTTAATAGTTGATAAATTCGAATAATTACCTTTTTTTCTATTGAAAGTCCGGAAAACCCGTTAAAGCTCTCGGATTTTTACAGAAGTGGACACCTTCTGAGACTAACAGCCTGATGCAAGCTGTAGTTCTAGCTTCGAGTGTGGTCTATTTTGGCTCCACATCAATTAAAAGGTAAAAATCCATCATTGGATGTTGCTTATGATACCATTAAATTGATCCCTACATCTTATACAAAGCCGATCACTCTTTATCTATTTTGTATGAGAAGAGTGTGTATATTATACTCCCATGGGATCATAGTGTGAGAAGAACTAAGCACCTTAGAATTACTAGATAAGTATTATCAAATTGAAAAAAAAAATGAATTTTGAGTTTTCCAACACTTGGGTCTCACCCTCTAAAAATTAGGCAGTTTCTATTCAATCTTGAGATACCAATTTTTTTCAGTGCATAGATAATGCAATTAGGAGAGCTTTTTTATTGGGAAAAAGTTTATATAAGGTTGAGGCCCTACGCAATCAAATTAAGGTGCACCTCAAAAAGTCACCGGAAGATGTTAATTCAATGTCAAAAAACCCTCAAATCGATCGTCTCGACCTCGAGATAAATAGATGTGGAAAAAAATGGATTTCAAGTTTGGGAAATAGTGTGCATCTTGCAATGCTTTGTCTTGGTCATCAATTTTCAATTTTTTGAAGTGATTACTAATCTACTCGATCTACAGTATTGTTGAAGCTTTAAATGTTATAGTTAGAGATGAAAATACATTTTTAGGCTATCACAAAGATTTTTGCAACTTAAAAATATCTTTCAATACTATTTGGAAGTGCGCCTTACTTTGATTGTTTAGGGGGCCTCAACCTTGTGTAAACCGCACCCTTTATATTGAGATTAATCTATGAGGAAGAGGTTATTTCCTCAAATTTTGGGTTCTTAAAGTTAATCTTAGATGAGGTTTTACCTGAGGGAGTAAATAGACAGTATACTCCCTCGAGAGCATAATATCTATTGGGCTATCAGAAATGGAAAAAAAACCCATAATGTTTCATTTGTTACTTTGATGAAATAAGTAAACTGGATATTACTTGGTGGGTTCCAAGTAAATTGGATATCCAAGCAAATTTTTCTGATGTTCTGATGATGAGCTGAGCACGAATAGCCATGAGTATCTTCTTTGGGAGGGATGGATTCCTCCCATTTCCCATTAATATTTGGAGCTTCAAAACCCTAGGAGGGCTTCCAGATGAACAAGAAGAGCAACAAATAATTTGTTTAGGTGTTTTGTGGCTATTTCAGATTTTCTATTTATTTATTTCATTACTAGACACGTTAAAGACTTTTTGGACATTTTAATTAAAATTAAGGGAGTTTAAGTTCGAGTTATACTTAAGTTAGGACTTTTGGATCAAAAGTTAATTGTATGGACAAATATTGTCCAAAACGTTAGACCTTTTGATCAAAAGTTAATTGTGGACAAATATTGTCTAAAACAATAAATATTTAATATAAAGAGGGGGTGTGGATGGGCTGGAGAAAGAGCACATATCCCTCTTTTCAGAAAAGAAATAAAGACTGTGTCTTGAAAGAAGGAAGTCCAAGGCTTGAGCCTTAGGTGGGAGGAAAGCTTTTAGATTTTTCCAAAATTGCACGTCTGGCTGTTGTTTTGCTGATTTTCACTGTTTATTTAAGTTCTCTGCATCATGTTCTCTTGGCACTTGCAATTTCATTCTTAAAACCATTTCATTTATTATGTTGACAAAATAAGCAAACTGGAAATTGATTGGTGGGCAGCCGAAACGCTATAACATATGAGAGAGAGCATAACATATTCTGTTGTTGATGTAAATATTGCCAAGTAATGTTTATTATGAAAATTGGTTGATCTGTTTTTCATCATTTGAATAATTCTGACTTGGTTTTTAGTTGTTTCATCTTATCTGGCTCTGACTTGTTTTGAATTGCACTTTGATTCTAGAAACAACTACATATGACAATGAAGATATGATTATTACTGTGAGAACAAGTGAAATAATTCCTGAAGACAATGTGATCAAGGCACCACAACCTGCTACATTGATAGACACCAAAGCAGATAAGAAACACCATATCCCTGTGAAAAAGAAACCATTCAAGAGTGGTAAGAAACCATTCAAACCAAGTAAGAAACCTAAGAAGAGGGGAGCAAAACAAGGAGGGAAGAGGAAAGGAAGAAACAAAGGATGACTTCACTTTAGCTTGTGTTGACATTGGTGCGCTCTCTCTCTCTTTCCTCTGCATGAAAATGTTATTACATGCTTTGAGTAGAGGTGTACGCTGACTTTTTGCCACTTTGAACATCAGTTTTTTTGTTTTTTACATATTAAAAGGCGATGAAAATCAACCTACCTCGACGACGCGGTGTTTTGATGTATGCAATTATTGTGAAAAAGGATTGAACTTTGCAATATATGCAAGCTATAAAATCGGTGGTATCATCAAGTGAATTGCCCCTTTCCCGATATAGTTGATGGAAAAGTTAAATCCGTGGAGTACTTGGGGATTCCTTCTTGTGACCACGATTAAAAAGATCATCATAATTCCCAAATACGTCGCCCTACCCAATAGGATATGTATCTAATTGTGATGTCCCATACTAAAAACCATCTTGTCGACGATGCGGTTTGCCCAGTTGCCCATCGTAAACCATCTAAGAGAGGTGCACTACGGGAAGATGATGATTTGGTGTAAGAACTCTTTAAGATGGCTTTGTTCCCACTTGGTAATAACAATATGAACGCTATTCTTTTAAAAAGCGAAGCGGACCGTCAAGTGCTTAAGCGATCCAAAAGAACAATCAAAATAAAAGGTGCGCTGCTACTGAAAGATGCTGATTTGGTGTTAGAAACTCTTAAGATGGCTTGAAAATTGCTCCCATTTGGGCCCACTTAGGGCGGCCCGTTTGCCAGGCGGGTGCTTAAGAAACCCGCCTAAGCGGGTTCCCATGTCCAGAGGCAGGGTGGAAATGATTAATGATTTTTTTAATATAAAATGGCCAAAATTGTGGGTTTATTTTCATTTAAAATGATATTTGAGGGTATTTTTTGGTTTTAGGTTCATTTGAAAGTACTTTTTGGGTTTTTAGTAAAAAAAGGGGAAAAACCTATTAGAGCTTATTTTAGAGGAAAAGAACCTATAAAAACTAGTTTTAGTGATTTTCATAGGATCGAAGAGTTTTTCAAAGTTACGAAAAATTGATCTAAGCATCACCCATTGATAATAGATTTAGTTTTAGATGTTTTATAAATTTATTAGAAGGTTTTTTTTAAAAGATTTTAACAATGTGTGTTTTATAAATCTATTGGAAGGTTTTTTTTAAAAGATTTTAACAATGTGTGGAGTGTGGACTACCAAACTATGGACAACTATGGATAATTGGATGTAGATTTATGGAATATGGACGAGGCTAATTGGATATAGACTTATGGAGTAGGGAGAAGTGTGTGTTATGTGAACTTGTGTATTATATATTTGATGTTCATTAAGTCATTAACTCTTATGTGTCATACAGTTATTATGTACTATACATTTGATGTGTCTTAAGTCCCTAACTCTTATGTGTTATATTGTTAGACTACATAAACATTTTTCTTTGGGCCACCTAGGTTTTGGGTGCCCGTCTGGGTGCTGGGCAGCTTGAATCTCCGGCCACGTAGTCACCGCCTAGCATTTTTTGAAACACTGATTAAAGCATAAAAAATATGCATATCACTATTTTTCATACCAGATATCTTTTATATATATATATATATATATATATATATATATATATATATATACTATAGTAGTTACTTACTATAGTACTATAGTACTATTAACTTAACTTTACTTAAGTAATAGTAGTCGTCGGTACTACTAGTTACGTTTACGTTTA